AATTTGATCTGTAGATGGTTGAGCCTGATGAGCTTTTGACACAGCTGAGCGCCGCATATCAAGGCAAAAGCACACACTATGATTGCCATATCTAGCACATGGACTCGACGCTTCCATGTGGTGTTACTGATGACGGGTAATTTCATCCTCAGGCATATAGGTATGACATCACTCCATTAATAATGGAGCAATTAATTAGGGCCTATTAAGCTGATGAATTAGGTTAGAAAGTGAAGAGGAATGTGGTCATGTGATAATATTACTTGAGAATACATTAATGACCTTTTGGGGATAGAGAAAAGGATGTGGGGGGTAGGACTTTCATAAAATCTGTTTTCCAACTGTAATAATGATGGTGTTATTAATATAACTATATGAAACCCAAACATGTTAGAATTTTAATATTGGGATGTGGTTGCTTAAAAAAAAACATTAATCTTAGCCTGTAGTCAATGACAGTTTTTAATGGGACAGTAAACACCATCTTGAAAAGAAGTTTCATATTGATGATACATTTTGGTCTCATATAAACCAGCAATTCTGTCAAGGTATCTTTGAAGCAGATGTACAGAGGGTAATGAATACAGTCCAACATTGCAGGACTCACAAGTATAAATAGTTGCTGTATTACATTAACAAAGAGATTTCCAGCCACAAGTCTAATAACTTTGATTTTTGTAAGTAATACAGCATAAAAAAACAACATGCCTTAGAGAGGAGAGATAAGACTTAAATTACTGGAGAATTTGGCTTATTAAGTGTTAACATGAAACACATGCTTTGTTCGTTGCATTTCTTCTTACTTATTTTTCAATGTTCAGTGTGTGAAGACTGAAGATACAAAGTAATTTGCAGCAAGCTTTTATTCTGCTCTGTGCTGAATTTCACTGACATCTAGTGTTAGCTTTAGGAAATGAAATAACGCACTGTACCTGACCCTGTGCAGGTGTGTGTCTGTGTAAATGCCCGACATGCACACATAATCCACTTCACAATACATCAGTGTAGTTTTATTGATCTACTTGATGTGACATTGAATGATCAGACATGTGGAAGTGACGCTTTGGAATGAAACCCATCCATTCCCTCAGTCTGCTGTCTGCCGCATTAATGACTTGAGGGAAGATGGGAAGGGAAAGGAAACCATTGTGATGGACCCCTGAACCAGTCAGCTTTGCAGTGGCCTTATGCTGTGAACAGTCTCCCCTCCAGGCACAGCCTGTTCTGGGTAAGGGAGAGGAAGTGGGTCAATCTGTCTGAGATGCAAAGATGTTCAAAGTAATACAGTATATTTAATCATAGATAGATCAATAGCTAGATGTAAAAGAAAGAGGAAAATGAGATGAAATCCATTATAATGTTAACAGGTTGAATGGATTAGATAATGAAATGAATCTTCTTGCAGCTAAAACTGAAGAGGAGCCTATGAGCTCTATGGTTAAAAAAAAAAAAAAAAAAAAAAAAAAAAAACAGTTTTATGTGTTTTATTCCCCAGTTGGCACCATAGAGTGTAAAAGGATATTTTTCCCCTGAAAAAGCAGAAAGGATTCTGTTCCTATTCCATGTGACTTTTATGACAGCTCGATTTTATTCCTTTAAAAGTAACAGTTTTCATATTTTATTCAGTATCTGACGTCAAAATCTGGTCAACTGACCTGATTAAAAAGTGTATCAAATAAAGTATCATGATATTTTCTCATATGTTGATGTCAGTATTTTTACCTTTTCTCTCCATTCTTAGAGACAATGTTAAACATTTGCTATCCTACATATGTAAGTAGTTTTAAGGTACTGTCTATTTTGTTGCGGCATGCTTTTAAGTATTAATCATTAACTAGACACTTTTAACTTAGTTACATGGGTCACACCTCTTCACACCAAACACCAAACACACTAATCAATTGCTAGTTTTGCACAGCATCTGACAGTACAATTCATACTTACTTTTTCACTTAACTAAAAGAAATCTACCTTTTTACAAAGGTAGGGCTCAATTATCCACAGTATCCTTTTGGTATTTATCAAAGTATGTCTTTGATACCAATTATGTTTTCCTTATGTCTCCATTAGACTCTGATTATCTGGAAATCTATTTATAGTGTTTTCAGCAAATGCATGAATTACAATAGATCAAAAAATACCAACATAAACCAGTAACTCATTTTTGTTTTGCAAAAGTGAAAAGATGGAATCTCAGGATATAGAAAAGGTTTGTATAGAAAAATGTTTACATTGAAATAATACAAGCAGTATAGTAGTTATATGTGGGCTTTTTTACACAGATGCATGCACACTCTACCTCTTTATCATAGGATGTGACACCTGATGGCCCATTAGATCCCAAAGTGCAATTCTGTCCCATGAATTTCTTTCCTTATAGAATATTTAGACTCAGTGTGTTTCACTTGGCTTGTCAAGATGGCATGCGTTATTCATGTTAATGTGCCATTATCTGACGCTCTGCGCGATGTAACACAGCCTTTCCCCAGCCCAGCACCCACAAACACATCCAGTGACCTTATGAACTATGCACTTCCATCACCCTGCCTGCAGCACTGCAGCAGCTCTGCTTCTTATAATACGTTCAGGGAGAGGAAATGTGTTCTTTTTGTGCAATTATAATGAATGCTTAAAAGCACAGCCAGTGAAAGATGCTTCTCAGAAACAAATAGAGCAGTAAATTTACCTGCACTTTGACCATCAATTAAAAACCGAGAGAGGGAGAGAAGAGTAAACATACTTGAGTCAACAAGCCTTTGTTGTACAGTAATTAATCTTAGCCTTTCTGCTGATAAACATTTTGTGAATCTTTAAGTCATGCCAGGCTGTTTGATTAAAAAAAAAAAAAAAAAGATGAGCAAGTGTGTTTGAAACCTTGAGAGACGGTGAGATACTAAGACCTCTCTAATATTTACATGGTAAACATGGTAATGAAGACAACAGTCTGTACTTTCAGTTTAGTTTGTAGTTGAATCACCTTTGGAGCGAGGACAGGAAAATGTGGACTAGATAAGGATTAATTAAAATTTTGCATGTTTGACTAATCTGTACTGCATGCAGCACAGTCAAGTTGTTGTTTTATCACACAATGTTTTGAATAACGCAAAAACAATTGTTCAGCATTAAATGAGAATTAAGAATTAAGTGATAACTTTGGAAAACGCTAGCTCCTTCCTATCACTTTTAGTCTTTATGCTATGTGAGCTTAACAGCTGTGACTCAATTACATGTCTATTGTACTGACTGAAGAGTAGCAAAGACTTTAAGTGGGTTATATAATTTATATAACTATTGGCAAGAATCTGGATAACATCTTTAATAAGGAGAAATAATCCTTTCATCTTAAAAACTGAATATTCAAAACAGGGGCAAAAGAACAGGGGCGCAATATTTCTTCATTGTGTATCCCTACAGTGTAGCTGGGTTAGCAATCCACTGAATTTATCAAAAAGTGTCTGCCAGTGCATGCTGGAATAGCACCAATCATCCCTGCCACTCTGACAGGGATTAAAACAGGTGGAGAAAATGAAAGACTCCAACTGTCAGCTTAGTCCTCAGACCTAAATATTGTGGCTTTGGAAAAAAGATTCACTCTCTCTGTTTGATGGGCCAATAAATGAAAAGCTTTTCACAGCTGATTAACATGATGTCGTGGATGTTCCTTGATATTGACAGTGCCTTTATAGGCCTGTGTGGGTTGATAAACAGGTTAATTTTAAGATACCAGATGAGCACAATGCATAATTTATCGCTTTAAAGCTTGGTGAATAAGAGTAAGCAATAAAGACAGCATAGCACACAGCTAAAATGTTCAGTAATGCTCTCCTACAGCTTTTAAATGCAGTGGGTGACAAATATGCTGTTTGTTCATCATTATTGGGGAAAGTGTAATTATCTGTCTGCTAATCAACACCTAGCACTTACTTTCAACATTGGACCTGCTGGACTGGTAACCTTGGACTCTTTTTTAAAAATCTCCATTAGAGAATAAACCTTTGTGCGTGAACTGTTCCCCATTTCTTTTCCTACCATGGTGCCTTGGAAACAGTCAGTCCTGCCCTTTATGGCTTACAATTGAAGAACCACCAACCCCATGCACACACATATTCATGTGCTTTTCCTTCCTGGTAACAAAATCTCCTTTTCGCACACAGACTGGATACATTTCAAAATGATGATGTTTGGTTCTCTTCATTTCAAATATGTTAGGGTAGTCTTTATTAAAATGCATGAAAAAAAAACAAAACACTAAAATATGTACAGTACATTTATTGTCACGTGTTGTTGTTATTTGTGGGTGAATAGGTGGGTCATTTACTATCATTAAGTTATGTTCACTGCATTTGGAAGAAAAAGAAACAAAGAAAATTGCTCCTCCACCAAATAAAGTAGAGGTTTGCAGGCATTAATGGTACTGGTCCATTGAATTTCAACTCTAAACACACTGCAGCAGCTTTAAACATCAAAACAGCCATAAAGATAATGTCACTTTTAGGCTGATTATCTAGCTTTTGTGGATAATAAGAGGACATTCATATTCATCTCATTCAGTTATCTTCACTGTAAGTCTTCTGAAAAGTTACTTGGATCAATAAAATATAAAGAAGAATATGTAAAGGGAAGATTTGACCTATTGTTCTAAATTAAGGAGGGAGAGGGTAAACAGTGAAATAATCATGAAACTCTTAGGTTATCCCTGATTGGTGGAAATGGTGGCGTTACTCTCCCCATGTTGCAACCGTCCCCGGTCTCCCCTCGCCATGCTCAGTTTCTGTCAATAGAAATGTGGATCGAGAGGGATAGGTAAAACTTCATCAGAATAGTGAAACTAAGAAGGACACACTGTCACTTTTCTCCAAGACTACAACATATTTGTAATGGTCTTACCAACACGTTTCCAGAAGCCAGTTGGTTTTTGAATAAAAGCGAAAACGTGTAAGAAACCTTTCGTTACGGTTTCACACACATGGCATATAAATAGTTTCCATAAATTCGCTTCCATCTTTACGCATGCGCAGTTCAATTGATTAACACCAGCAAACGCGGTAGATAACAACTGGTCCTCGGTGCATGGATCTGCAGTGAGAAGAGCGAGCACTCCAGCCAGGGGTAAGACTGAGACTTTCGCTGGATGTAAATCTGGTTAGAGGGAAAGCTTTAGTTGTGGATAAAAATCAACGAGAGACTGAGCCGCAATCTGTGAAGTGTGCGATGGAGAAAAGTGTGAAAGCGACTGTATGGCCGCGATGACTCACTGCTGTCAAGAGCTGCTGGTTTATCTGTGCGCTGAGTTAAACATTTTAAATTCAAAGTCAAATCAAAAGCTACATATGCCTACGGTATTTTGTACAAGTACGCTTTCATTTTTTTAATAAAGGGCAGTTGAGAAAATGTGTTGCAGTAGCCTATTTCTGGATGATTTTCAGCGGACAGAGAGAAAAAGGTTTTCTTTTTGACCGAACTTTATTGACTTTATCTCATAAGCTTTGGGTCAAGCTGGAAATGAGTTTGAGTGGACTCAGAAGTACTGTGGACAGCGCACTTTATGTAACACCTTTTACCAAAAAGCTAAGTGATTGTTTTCAAAAACTGTTTTATTTTCATTTTGAAGGACAGCAAAAAGAAAATCAACTCTAGTCTGTGCTCTTATGTTGGCATGGAAAGTTAACCTTCCTGGAAGTTTTATCTAAATTACTTCTTTCTTTAGTTAGAAATAGACCAGGCCTCCCCAGCCAAATCAACTGGGCTCACAAAAGGTTCTTATCTGGAGTAAGCTTAGTGATAACTCTCTCTAGCATTATGAGTTTGGCTCACAGGAAGGTGCAAACCTTAACATTCCTGGTTCAGGGCATTCTCTGGTAATGAATTAGTTTTCCAGGGTTCTGAAATCAGGTTCAACAGACTGGAATCAGACATTTGTGGTAACCAAGTGAAACAGGGACAGAATAGATTAACATCAATTCAACCACCTCTGGAGAAGTGTAGCAGAGAGATGTGTGCGCATTTATATAAGGAAGAGTGAGCACACCCACATATGGTGTGACTCATCCTATCCATGGTGATAAAGCCACCCTGGGGCCAGGGTAGTTGTCAATTGTTCACATGCAGCAACACCAACTGGGGTCACCTGACACAGGCCAAGATTTATGAATGTCTCTGATGGGAGAGAGGATTTTATTGAGGAAAATCCACATTCATTCAGGAGACAAACTGTGTTTGTGTTGCAGCAGCCTACCAGACATCATGGTCACATATGGACCTGTTCAGTACCCTAATGTGCATTTTGGTTTGTGTGTGTATCTCTTACTGTAGGTGTGAGAGGTGTGATGGCACTGTGCTCCGAGGCCTGTGTCCCAAGCTTAGGAGAGGAATCCTATGGGAATGAGGTAAACTTTGGGTACCCTGGGTGTCAGTTCTAATGTCTTTGATTTTGATGTACAAAAAACATGTAGTTGAAGGAAATGCATTTTTACTTAAACGTCAAGTGTACAAAAAATGAACAGGGGTGAGGTTTGTTCTGAAGTCAAAAGAGACCAAAGGAATTATATTAAGGTGATCAGACGTCTCCGGTTTCCGGGGATAGTCCCCGAATTGGATGACCTGTCCCCGGCAAAAGCTGTCCCCGAAAATGTCCCCGATTCAAGTATTTCATGAATGAGAACAAAATTTTGCATGTAGGCTAGAATAACGGTTATTACAGTGGCCGAATGGGTAGGTGAGCAGTTCTAAACATCAGTTTTTACAGGGGTTATTACAAGGGGCGTGCAATGCTACTAAATAGTACCGAGATGTTGTCTGTGATCACGCAGCCCATGCACCCCTGCACCGAATGTCCCCGGATTTCATTACAGATATCTGGTCACCTTAAATTATATATTGATTAAGTACAGATTTAAAATCTGTATAACCTCACATTTGGTATGATTGGAATTCATTTTAGGATCAGTGTAAAAGTCGAGTCAGGTTTTTGGAATTGGAGACAGAGGTGCAGCTCTTAAATTTTGTTCAGAAAATCCATTTTCCAAACCCTAAAACTGTGGAACATTGATTTGTGTTAATAATTAAACTCTAACTAACCAAGCCACTCTGTAGGTTTATTTACTCCCCTTTATTTTCTTACTTTTTCCTACTTCCCTTGAGCTGTATTGATACTGGTGTCGATACTCAAATAATAATGCAGGCTTATACAGTGGTTGAGTTCTCTCTGGTAATTTGCTCCCTGTGAAAATAAACTCTCAGGCAGGTTCAAGCTGCACTCAGTTCGGGGTTCGTTCCTACCTGCACCACTTCTACGAGGAGTGCTCATCCACTGTGTGGGAGAGTGACACAGATGCTCAAGGGTTCGTCCAGAGTCAGAGGCAAACCCTATGGTCCAACTCAGCCATCTGGAAGGTACAGTAACCTTAGCCTTAAACCTGTGTTCCTGTGTGAACACAAGATTTAAATGCTTGATACACAATGAGTGATGCATCATTACAGTGCAGAGATCATAGGTTATAACAAAGGTCAAAGAGCAGGGTGAGATATTTAAACCTTCTGTGCATTTGCCAAATTTTAAATGTTAGCTTCACAAACAACAAAATGACCTTTGCTAGCAAGAAGTGTGAAGAGCTAATAAGGCCACTAGAAGGGCTACAAAATGAACATGTATTTGATCATTTCTGTCCCTTTCTTTCAAGGTGTCCTTGGCTCTTGGTCTCCTGCTCCTGACTGCAGGAATTACCAGTTTATCAGCTGGTTACGCCACTCCCCACAAAATTGAATCATTTGGTGAGGGAGACCTATTTTTCGTAGACACCCGGGCTGTCAGCTTCAACAGAGGGTTGCACATCAGCACTGCAGCCGGGATCTGGCTCACCTGTTTCGGTTCAGCCCTGGCAGCCATGGGGGTTGTTGTTTGGATCCTGCCTAAGACCGACTTGAAAGAGAGGATCTTCCCCAGACAAAAGCCAGTGGGACAAACTGGAGAGTCGGGGTCAAACTGGAGAAAATTTAAGGTTCCAAGAGATGCAGTCACTAAGCCACCAGGTAAAGAGGAGGGGGAATTACCTGTAATACTGTCAAAAGTGGAAAATGTTCAGCCCACTTCTATAAAGTGATCTCTACACAGCTACATGGTACACAGGCCTTTCTTTAAGCTCTTGAACTGCTTTTAGTGGTCTTGTGATTATTTTAGCATGTGCTTTTTTACCCAGCCATAGTACTAGCCATCAAACATCTTTTTAGCTTTGCCTGGTTTCTTTAGCAAAGAGACTGAACACAACTCACCCACTCTCTTCCAGCAGCCGCTTGTTTGTAGGGCGAGCTCGGGAGAGTCCGTCACTGAGTGCAGCGGAGTTACACAGCTCAAGGAGGAACATTTATGATCATTTCTTCATGGAAATGCAATCAGACCACGATGCTGAGGCAGAAGAACTACTGCGTCTGCAGTGCAAAATGATTAATATGATGATCATTACTTCAAGGAAATAATGAAGTAATGATCATAAATGTTCTTCCTTGAGCTGCGTCACCCCGCTGTAGTTGTTGATCAAGAGAGTGGGCCTGTTGTGTTTGGTCTCTTTGCTAAAGGTAACCAGGCAAAGCGAAAAAGATGTTTGGTAGCTAGTGCTATGGCTGGGACCCTATATGTACTGTTGATAAAGTTAGTTGCTGTTCTGAGCATTATTTCTGGCTATAGAGTGGCTTTTTGGTTGAGGTTTGTGCATGGATCCATAGACCGCTGTGTATTGCTATCATACGTCTAACTCTAACACGTGTGTGAACATATTTTTGAACAGGAGAAAAAAACTACACAATTGCGTGCTGTTTATTTTGTAACTGACCATTTGCAAGCTTGCCTTTTTAATTCCATGTCAGTGAATACCTTAAACAGTAAACAGTACATTTGAGAGAACAGTGAGAGACCTACACATAGTCGACCACCCTTTCTGTGGTTAGCCCACAGAAGTTAATCTGCATGATTCTCATGTAGTGTTTTAGGTAATATCCAGCTCCACCTCTTTAAAAAGCACTAGTCAATCAGGCCTTTCCCATTGCCGTTTTTTACCAACCATTAAAAAGCACAAAGATACAATGGGGGCTGACAGTGATTGAGCTTTGAGCCGGAAACTGAGGTACTGATAAAGCTGCATGTACAGGAGAGCTGAGAACTGAGTGTTGGTGTGTGTGGTAGTTTAGTTACTCATTGGAGAAGCAGCATTGCAGCACTTAAGACTAAGATGGACAACTTCTTCTCAATGTGTGTGTGTGTGTGTGTGTGTGTGTTTGTGTGTGTGTGTGTGCGCGCGTGTGTGTTTTTAATCCAATTAAATCCAATGTTGGCGGCCCTAGGACTTTAATCAGAGATCCTGTTCTATGGTGAAAGTAACCATGTAGTTGTTGACTATAGACTATGGGCCTGATCTACTAAAGGTTTGCGTGTACAAAAATGTGCAAACTTGATGGTGCGGGCAAAGCTGATCTACTATCCAGGTGCACCGAGGATTGCCTCTGTCAAATGAGCAAAACAGCGAGTGCAAACGATTTAACGTGCTTACCACTTTTGCACCTGTTATCAATTGCCCACACAATGATAGTAGATGATTATATTTATGTGTCATGGCCAACCTTTATGGGTTTACAAGACACCAAAAGTATTTTTACAGCGCTTCAAACATTTCAAATTATGATAATTATTACGTTGCATCTTCCGTTCAAAGCTTGCTACTAAACATTACAGTCAGTCTTTTTCCCAGGCTTTGCAGATAAAATCTAAAAACACAACTCAACTTTTTCATAATCATCCAAACAAAAGAATCTGCAGGAAATTTTTGAACAAACACATCGCTTTAATCATCATAGACTTGACTGTAAAACAGAAAATGAATCTTATTTTCAATCACACCAAAGTCACAAAACAAACAGATTCTGACCTCCCCAGGTTTAGTCTTCGACTCACCTGTTTCTAAAGCTAATGTTAGGTTCCTGAGTGCAACTGTGCACAGAGAGTTCTTTGACTTTTGGTTAAATTATACTGCACATAAGATTCCTCATCATAACTACTCTTTATCAGACACAATAAGTTCTTAGTTTTGGTTTACACCATATAACAACAGACTGTATTTCCCTGTACTTTGTAAACATATTGCACCTGATTTCCTACGTTTCACAAATTAACCTATTTTGAAAAATAAATGACTTGATATCCTCTTAAATCTCATTAGCCCAGGGATAACAAACAATGAAGGGTATCCTATATAAATATCTCCTGTGTGAGTCTCTGGTAGTCCAACATCTTCACAAGTCTATTCCAGAGACGAACCATTTCATATTTATGTCTGATGTTTGGCTTTCATCCTATATCTCCATTCATAGCTGGCACTGATGTAAATTTATGAAAAAATCTTATTGGTCTATGATGTATAGAATTACTGCTTGGATATTCCCAGAACTCCAGGGCACCAAATGCATTATCAGACACAGGACACACACTTGAATTATAAAGTTGTATATACAAGTATGGTATCCCAGACTACCACACTGCTTAACTTTGTCTTACACAGATGCCAGAGCTCTACCTGCCGACTGAGTAAAAACACTTAAGGCATTCTTGGAACTAGATCAGTTCCAGATCTCCTCCTCATTGATCTATAAGGACGGACTACACAACCAGAGATCATTGAGATTTATACAGTTTGTTGTCCCCAGAGTGCGAACTGAAATGGGAAAGAAGGCTTTCAGGTTCTCTGCATTGAATAATCTGCAGACTGAATTTAAGATGCAAAACTTGTTGTCTTTGACTGTTTTTAAATCTGCAGTTAAAACGCTGAAATACAAACTCCCAGAATGTATCTGTTTTAACTGATGTTTCCTCACATTTTTGTTCTGTATTGAGTCTGTGTGACTGTTTGTTGTAACTATGTATTGCTGCCATTCTTGGTCAGGTCTCCTTTGCAAATGAGATCCTCCGATCTCAATGGGACAAACCTGGTTAAATAAAGGTTAAATAAACAAATAAACTTAGGGCTCTATTTTCGTGCCTCGCCGGCAGCGTGGCACAGGTGCAGCGCAGGTCAGGTCCACATTTTGGTATTTAGGTGAGTGGTGCAACCCGGCGTAAGTATCCCCCCCCTTTTTTTTTTTTTTTTTTTTTTTTTTTTTTTACCAATCACACCAGCTCCTCTCCTCACCTTTAAATCCGCCACCGGCATAATATAACTCATCTGATCACTAAAATAAATAATCTGTTCAGCCTTGCCGCTGTAGCAGCAGGACGGTAAGAGGGCACGGAGACATGTCCAGGTCGAGCTGCGTGAGAAATGAGAGGATGAGGAAGATAGAAAAAGGGGGGAGAAGAATTAAATATCTTGTTAACTTCATCATGTGTGTCTGTTTACTGGATATTTAATTTAATGCGATTTCAGCTGTGTTAAATCGGTCAGGTTGAATGTCCAAACGCATGCCAAACGCACTCAGACAGATAAAGATTGGAATATATTGATATAGATGTAAATGTATGCGCCGACTCAGATGGTTGCACTAAATATTAGTTGTTGATTATTTATTGCACTGAAATGTGCCTGACACTGTGGAAACCTGCCTGTGAGGCATTGGTGATGTGTGCGCACTAAGCCGCCGGTCTACCAAAATACCACTAGACCAGCTGCGCTCCTCCTGCGCTGAAAGCTGACCAGGTTTGAATCGACGAGCTTTCAGCGCACTTCCCACGCCGCTGGTGAGCACGAAAATGTCACTGGGCTAGCTGATTGTGTTGACACCTTCCCTTACTGCGCCACCACGCCTAGCTTGGCGGACCTCAGTGCACCTCAGTCTTTGAAAATATCAAACTGGCTGTGTGCCGGGCTCTGCCAGACGAAAATACAACTGCGCAGGCTGCGCCACCCTCCGCCACGCCACCGGCAGGCACAAAAATAGAGCTCTTAGAGCTTCTTTAAATGTTGTGTTCACCTAATGTTATGATTGCACCATTGATCCTAAATTAAAAACAACAGAACTTCTTATTGATGTTTCCACTGGAGCTCAGCCTGCAGTGTTGAACATGTTTAGTCCCACACCCTCACATGTTCAATTCGTGCTCAATTGTCAGTACCACTTATTTTCTCCCCACTGTACTCTGGCTTCCATAATTGCCCACAACCTGTGTCTCCAGGCAACAGTTGGGCTTCAAGTGCTGTCTTTTCAACTCGGATTGAAACCTTTTTCCTAATTGGCCAAGCACTTTTCCTTTCTCTGTTTTTACACCAATCACAACTAAGCTCACACCAATGTACATCTACAGGCAAATACAGTTCCAAGTGGTTGATTAAGCACTGAGAAGAGAGGAAATTGCACCGGTACCTTGCAGGCCTCTTGTCTGATCTAGTTCTATGATTTTGTGAAACTGCTTTAAATTAGAGTGTTATCTAGAAAAATTGTGGAAAAAGAATGATGTCCTAATTACTTAACTGCATTGGTTAAAAGTGACAGCACTGTTTGAGTGTATACTTATTGAATTTACTGTCATGATTTTTCAATGAGATGAGAATTAAATGTTATCAGGTTAAAATAAATGACAGAAATAAACGTGTAATCTGCATACCCAACTTTTTAACTGAGTAAGTTTTTTTTTTTTTTTCTTCAAAACCTGTTACTGTGGAAAAAATGGTAACCAGTTTAATATGAGTAAATGACGCCCTTGGTCCCTTGGATGAAAGATCCCTTGCAAAGAAAGTAAGAATTTACAGGTAGAGGTTTAATGCTGGAGACTGTTGTTACCTTTCACTTATTTCAGCCACCCATCGAGGAATCACACTCATCTAACAAGGCTCTTACAGCTTTTAGATGGTTTAGCCTTTTGCCTGGTTATCATTGTTGTTTAAGCCATTGTTGTCTCCATTGAAATGAAAGCCAGAGGCATCTTTAGGTTTGTTTGATTACAAACGCATAAGAAAATACCTTAACCAATCAAAGTAACACTGCATTTGAGATTTTAAGTCTAAATAGATAGTTCCTAAATTCAGTTTATATTTCCTCTAGTTCAACATCGTACTTTAGATTTTAGTCAAGATTAAGCACTCATGTACCAGTTTATCAGCCATCTAATTAGTACAATTTGATTTCCGCTCTTCATCTTGGATGACCAGAATCAGGCCAGTTGATAACTGTCTGAGCTGGAGCACATCTATTTTTGCCCCTAAAAGTTCATTTCACAACGATACAAAAGTACTACTTGTGCAGCAGGACATTAACATACAACTCTGTAAGGTGACGCTCTGGGTTCATGTAGGAGTGCATGTGTTCCAGTAAGTATGAGTACATTGTGTCGTTCTCGGTAGTTGAGTCACGACTGCAAGCGTGACTCATCCAACCTTGTCTTCCAGGTCACACACTAACAGAGACAAGCTAAGTGTTTGTATGTGACGGTTTATATGAGCACACACAATCACTCATGTTCAACCACTTGAGGTGACAACTGGTTCTCAGAATTATAATTGTTTTGAATTGCTTATAGATTTATATGTGGCCATTATTAACCAGGTCGTGTTTGTTCAAGTTTGTACAATATGTTCTTTAGGCTTTAGACACCAATAAAACACACATCAGACGGAGCATAAGCCTTAACAAGGAATTGGATTTGCTGTTTTAAGCTGGGGATTAATGTGACTCTTCAAAATATATACATTTTTCATTGCTAATACCCCCCCCCCCCCCTCCATAAATAAATATAAATATGAATAAATGTAACTAATCTCTGAGCAGCTACCTTTTAATTGTCAGCTGTTGTCAGCAGTTGTTAGTTGTTTTTAGTGATACCAGTTGTAAACAACGCATAACATAGTATTGTACTCTTACAAACACCATAGCACTCTGTTCACAGACATTGGGCAGTACAACATATACCACTTATTTAATTTCACAAAAAAAAAACAGAAGTGTTAATAAATAATACATTATGAGAGCTTTCACTGTTACTCTTTACTGTTGATGCACTGCACTGCCATGTTGAAATATGACGTTGTCGTCAAGTCAGGGTTGTCGAGGATCGTCCGACTTTCTGAGTCAGAAATCTGACTTAAGGGGGGGCATTCCAGATGCATTTCCGAGTTGGAGCTCGGAAATTACAACTTCCGTGTACAACTGGAACACAGCATGAATCTTTGCTGTAAAAATGGGCTTTTAAATGGGTGTGTATGTGGTTTCCATGTGCTTTTGCCACCGGTCACAAGAGGACATTTAAGGAACTGCAGTCCTTAGGACCTCTGCATCAGCTTCATTTCGCAAGACCAAAAGTTGTTGTTGCTGACATCAGAGGTTTTGTAAAAAAATTTAAAACTTAATTTAGTCAGTGTTTGTGGTGATAGCAGAAATGGTTACTCAGAGGAACATTGATGTCATTAGCTCAGCCTTGGGGATCATACACTAAACTACAAACAAGAGGTTGATTGCAAACTACCAGTTTGTCAATGCCTTATAATGTTAAACTTTGCTGTTTTTGATTACTATACTATGACAAAGGGGCAATACAGGCTGCTGCCTCAAGATACTGTCATTATGCATGCAATGGTCTTCTACTGTATGGTGTTTGATGTGACAGACTAATTTCATATTATGGCCGCTTACTGCTCTTGAATGTTTACCATTTTTCTTGTGGGGACAGATAAATAATTTTGGACACCTTTCATTTTGACAGGATTTTTTTTTTTTTTTTTTTTTTTTTTTTTTTTGTCTGAGTGCATGCGGATTTCGCCAAAGTCAGACTTTATTGATCCCGAAAGGGAAGTTCAATTAACTAGTTGCCTCAGACCCCCACAGTATCGTGACTGGGGATGAGTGGTTGTACAAGATGGATGTTAGCTTGACCAAAACTTCAGTTAAACTTCATATCGACCCAGACGCTACATGGCCTAACTAAATGACACATTGAAAAGTACACGAAGTGAAATCAAACAAGAACCTTTCCACTTACTTCCTTTGCTTGTCTTCTCGCCGTCGTCTTCTGTGGCTAGATTGTAAAACACATTATTATTGGTCCCCAGCAGCTCACTTCCATTATGGCTTTTTTTATTTGCATTCTTTTATTTTCGCAGTAAGTACCTTTTTTTTGGGGGGGGGTTGCCACTTTTTTTTTGTGTTGTTAACTTCCGTTGTGGCTTTTTTAAATTATTTGCACTGTTTCTTTTTTATATTTGCAGTGTGCTTTGGTTTCATGTTTTTTTTTTTTTTTTTGCATCAGTAACTTTTGTTGTGGCTTCTTTTGTTTGCATTCTTTTATATTTGCAGCGGTGGCGGTTCTCGGCCACCGTAAATTTGGAACAACAAAAAGTCCATTTTAATTGATATATGTTATTATATTAAATAATGCTTGAAGTATTTTTTCCTGTCTTTCAGTAGCTAAGTGAACATGACTGACTGTGTATGAGCATGCATGTGTGCCTTTCCTGAAACTATTTTCTGTCCTTGTTTACATACTTTTTGTACAATTTCAGTGCATTTTTGCATGGATGACTGTAGTATGTTTGGGCTTATTAGCAAGTTTATATAAGTGAATAATAAGGTGCGAAAGTGGAAACAGTAGCAGTGAAGACATCCTGTGAAGATATATGATGACATGCTCGACTGACTGCAGAACTCAGGGTGTGAGTCACTCCATTGTGGGAGAGAACCACATAGCAGACTACTGGGTTGCTGTCGGCTTGACTGATTAGCATACAATTCCATGTGAGTGCATTTGTGTGTAGGAGATGTATCTCTAGGTGCCTGGGAGTCTGTTGGTTTTGGTGTTAGTAAAACGCTGCAACACCACATCTGCTGCAGAATAGAGATAAGGAAGCAATCAGCTGATAGATCCTGGCCTTCAAAACAAATTTGAATACAACTTCAGATGCATTAATAAATGTCAGAACTTTATGGCATCTATTCAATGTGCGTTGGTGTGGCTTTGTGGCTACAAACTAGCTGATGACAATTAAAGGGCCGGGCAATATTATTTTGTTAGTATTTTGACAGCAGTGTAGCAGTATTTCAGGATTCATGCCATCACACAAAATTTTATTACTCCTTATGCAGAGCCCAGACATGAGTGTGAAGTCATATAAGCTTCAATCTAGAAATATTTACTTTAAGACCCACTCTGATGAAAATCAGTTTTTTGTTGTTTTTTTACGTGTTTATATGGCATTTTTCTGATGCTACAGGACATATCATGGGAAAATTAAGTGCAAAACTGCATTTCTGAGTATTTCTGCATTCAAATAACTGTGAATCTCTGACAGACCCAAATGGCAGGCTCAGACACAGTGAGATTTCCTACGCCTTAACTGCAAGCTCCGCCCCCAGATCCCCACTGTGCAGGCCAGACTCGGAAAAGTAGAGAGGGTGATCACGGAACAAGCGTGCGTGTTAGCAGGTTGCAATACTCGCAAAAAAGCTGATGGTAACACTTTACTTGACGCCATCTCTATAACCCATTATAAATGTATGTATGATACGTTATAATCACATTATATCACTGTATAACTATAGTTATAAACACTCATAAATGATCATAATACTTTATAGCAATAATCACAACACATTACAAAGCATTTTATCATGACTTACAAGGTCAGATATTAACATAAGTTACAACTGTTAACTCACTGACAATGCCCACATGGATAATGCATTATATATATATATATATATATATATATATATATATATTTATGATGTGTTGTAATTTGCTTATAAACTTGTATAACTATCATTTTAAACACTTATTAATTATCATGAGGCTTTATAACAATAAGCACAACAATCACATTCACATTCTCACTAGTCAAGGAGGTTGTATTTTTGATCTGACAGTTGCTGCTGCTCTACTGTTTGATGCCTGTGACTCCCTGCTGTTATCATCATGATCTACCCCCCTCCACTTTAATTCTCTGTTCATTCTTACCATGCTGAAAACTGGGTCAGTTGCCATGTGAACTTATGTCTCTTATTCAGCTGTCTATATTAATGTGTTCTGCATGCCAATTCAGGGGGTTTATTTGTTTCCCTCAAAATCCTAAAAAGGTTGGATTCATTTGAACTCAAGAGTTTTCATACAAGTTTATTGCACTGATAGTATCTTAAAAACTTAACTATTGTGTATGGCTGAGCAAAATCAGAGGAGCAGAATAAAAGTTATCAGCAAGTATGTATCAGACAGGTGTGACCTTTGTGAAAAACACAAGAGCTGGACTGGAAATATGGGAGGAGAGGCAGGAAGGCAGGTAGTGTCACTTTCACTCTCATTTGACCTTGCATGCCTTAAAATTAGCATTTTAATTTACAGAAAACTAAACATGCATGTAGTCCAGTACATTCGGAGTAAATAAAAAATAACTTTCTTATAATTCTCTAATGGTAATGGCTGACCGTGTCTCACACATCACAACCTAAGAGATGTTTATTCCCTCACCAACCACAACTCAATTTCAGCGTTTGCATTGACCTTTTCTTATCCAAGCAGATACAATCTATTACTGAAAAACTCCCAACTGCGAACCATAGTTGTAAAGTATTATATGAGTGCAAAATTATCAGTACGTTTCATTTTAAACAGGAAGTCCTATCAATAAATAGATGCTTCTATTGGGTAGTTTTGCTGCG